ATCCCTTCCTGTCTCTGCCCCCTCCTCCTTCTTTCTCTTCCAAGTGTGCCAGAAGTGCCGATACTGGGGTCTTTGCCTTGCCCCAGCAGCCCTGCAGCTCCTGAGGACTCTCTCAGGGCAAGTCTTGTGCTATGCTGCTTTGGCTCATTCCCTCCCCCACTACCCTTGGCTGGGCTGGGCAGGGCCTTGTACCACCTGCCACGTGGCAATGTACCACCAGTGATACGCATACCACCAGTTGAAAAGCCCTTACTAGGGGATCCCCGAGCAGCTTCGCAAGTGGTATTGAATGGCAGTGATTCTTGATATTGAATTGGACCGTTACAAGAAACCCAGTGCTATCGAATCAAAGCCGAGGTGCAGTCAGGAGAGACGTCAGTTCAGACGGTGTCTGGCAGCAACTTCCATGGCCAGCGCCCCCATAGCACCTGCTGGGGCCCCTATTAAGTGCTACCAGTGCATCCAGCAAGGGCACCGAGTGGCTGAGTGGCTGGCACCAACTCCTCTGACATACAGCACCAAATGCCACCACCTCTAAGCAGAAAAAGCCACAATGAAAGGGTTGGGAGAATTCAAACTGGGCACATCAAAATCAAGCCATCAAGGTCTCTTCCCTCCATGGAGGAGAGATCGAACTCCAGTTGAATACCTGCAATTACCGGTGCCCTATGACAGTGACGATGAAGGTGAGAATGACCCGATCATGTCGAGCCATCCCTCCTTTCACATCCCTGCTAAAATTATAGTACAAAAAACTGGGGTTCAGGCAGATCTAGACATCGAAATAAACTCAGGTTGCACACAATGCTTAATCAGCCTTCCACCTGTGCTTACGTTGGGAATCCGCACCAAGCGATTGCCCCTAGCCATGAAGTTTGAGCAGGCTGATGGGTCATTGGTCATGGAAAAAATCCATTAAAAGACACAAGACAGCACATTACAAACATCTCACTTTAAGAACCAGATGTTTATTTATTGAAATTTAGAACACAAAGCAATCACATACATACTTATACCCATTGCAATGAGGACCAGCTTTGGACTAGCAATCATAGCAGTGATGGCTAGTGCCAAGTGGCCCTGAACCACGTCCAGACTCAATCTTTTATACTTTAACTCAGACATGTAAACACAAGGCCCGGGGGCCGGATGCGGCCCGCGAAGTGGTTTCATGTGGCCCGCGAAACCATCCTGGAAACAGTGAGGGAACGGCCCCCTCTGCCTTGGCACTTGGGAGCCAATGTACAATTTTGTGGTGGCCCTCTATGCTGAAATGCATTCAGTCTTAGCTCCATAAGCCGTCCCCGCATGGCCTGAGAGGAACAGTGAGGCTCCTCCAGTGGACCATGCCTTGGCACTTGCCCTGGTCCCACCCCTTTCTGCCAGAGACCCTCAGATCTGTCTCACTCCTGCCCAGGCCCCCACAGCCCCCCTTGGCGTGAACGATGTAGAGCTGCCATGCCCACCCAATAAGCCACACCCACTCCATCCATGCCCACCCAGTAGGCCGCACCCACCCTGGCCACACCCATCTGGCCCCCTGAGGGCAACCGCAATGCTGATGTGGCCCTCAATGAAATTGAGTTTGACACCCCTGCTTTAACTCGTCTTAAATCACAGACAGATGGTCAGCAACCTTGCATTTTCTGCAGACTTTCTGCTGATCATAACTTTCCACATACCCATGTACATCGGAGCCCACACTCATCAGCTACTTTCAGTTCCCCATTTCTCACAGTTCCAGTCCTTATTTTCTAAATATATTTGAAACAAGCAAGCTTAGCAAAATCATATTAAGTAAAGTACAGTCGCAATTGGGATTACAAATAGCTCCTTCAGATTGTAAAACTGAGCATAGCACATACTTTGGTTCAATACTTTTCCCATGAGGCCTGATTTAGTTCACCTGGGCCTAAACCTTGCATAGAAGAACAATAGCCAATATTTTCATTTCTCACAGGTATGACAATGCACCTAACTGAATCGGTATGACAAGAGAGATGGGGCAGCATTGGGAGATCATCTGTTTTGTGGTAATTCCAAAAATGACTGAGACTATAATCTTGGGATTGCCATGGCTTCAGAGATGGGATTCAGCCAGTTTGCACCACTTCGGCAGAACCGGTAGCTAATTTTTTGTTGCCCAGGCCCAGAATGGACTTCCGGAAGCAGCATCCACACAGAGAACTGGTTGTTCACATATTTGAATCCCACCACTGCGTGGCTTGATAAGTGGTGATCCACTATATGGTAGGAGAATGGGGTAAGAACCATGAGATTCCAGGCCTGTACACGCCCTGCCTGCTGCTTCTATGAGCACCTGCCCCAGTGCTGGAGACTCTGTCCCATTGCAGGAGGCCTGCCCCAAGGCCTCAATGGAGGCCACGATCCTGTGGGCAATTGTTTGTTCACATCCATCTGTGGCTGCTCCAAGCCACTGCCACCAGCACCAGAGTCACTGTTCCTACGAGGCCCTGTCTCAATGTCAGAGTCACCCCCTTCCAGACCTCCATGGAGGCCATGGTCCTGCAGGCAATTGCCCCAGCACCTGAGTTGCCTTCACCAGGCATCAAAAAAGGTACAATCCTGCAGGCAGTTGCCTGTGCACTGCATGGCTGCCACTACCCCAGTGCTGGAGTCACCTCCCCCAGGCATCTACCATGATCCTGCAGGTAATTGCCCACCCAACCCCACCTTGCGTAGTCCCAGCACCAGAGTTGCCCCCCCCCAGGGCTCTATGGAAGTCACGATCCTTCAGGCAAATGTTCATGGATGCCCCACTTGCTTCTGCCCACCTTCCAATACCCGAGCACCTGCCCCAGTGCCAAAATAACCCTCTCAGGCATCCATGGAGTCCATCATTCTACAGGCAATTCTCTGTGCACATCCCTCCTGCCTCTGCCATGATTCCCTGCTGCCAGCACCAGAGTCACCATCCCAGGGCTCCATGGAGGACATGACCCTGCGGGCAATTACCTGTGTATGCCCTGCCTGCTGCTGTTGTGATCCCCTGCCCCAGCACTGGAGTCACTCACCCCCAGGCCACTATGAGGCTGCAATCCTTCAGACAATGCCCAGTATAAGACCTGCCTGCTGCTTCAGCAAGCCCCTGCTCCAGCACATAACTGATCCCTCCCAGGCCTCAACAGAGGCCACAGTTCTGTGGGCAATTGCCTGTGCACACTCCACCTGCCTCTGCTGTGAGCTCCTGTCCCAGCGCTGTAGTCGTTTTCACCAGGCTTGCACAGAGGCCATCATCCTGCAGACGATTGCCCACACACATCCCACATGCCACGGCTGTGATCCCTGCCCCAGCCAGGGAGTCAACCTCCCTAGGTGACACAGAGGCCTTTATCTTGCGGGCAATTGCACAAGCATGCCCTGCCTGTCGCTTCTGTCAACCCCTGCCCCAGCACTGGAGTTGCCCTCCCCAGGCATCCAAGGAGGCCACAATCATGAGGGCAACTGCCCACATACGCTTTGCCTACCGCTGCCATGAGTTCCTGTCACCAGTACCAGTCACCCCACCAGACCTCCATGGAGGGTAGACTTTAGAAAATAGAGATATAATAATTACCTAACAGATAATGGTAATTCAGAAATGAGTTCTTGAATGTGGCAAAAGTATGCTGCATTAAAAACTAGCACCCTTTAATTTTTTAAAAAAGACACATTATTTTTTGTATAAATTTATTAGTTTTTATAGGGTTAGGAACAAGGTGGGGTCGGGGTTGGGGCTGGGATTTGGGTTAGGGTTGGGGTTGGGGTTTTTCCAAATGACATTCTCAATATTTAGCAAACAGCATAATGTCTGGGTTCATGTGTTTAACAAATAATAATAGATAATAGTTAATTATCATAAACAATATATTAATTAATCGCTCGATAGTCTTCTTACTAGTATATATTCAAAGTTACATATCACATTCCATTCTCTCTAACTCGTTTTTTCTAGCCATTGATAGAAATTATCCCATGTTCTAAAATAAACTGAGTCTTCTTTCTCTTTTATCTTTAAAGTCAATCTATCCATTTCTGCACAGTCTAAAATTTTCTTAATTAGTACTTCTTCAACTGGTAAATTTTCATTTTTCCAATGTTGGGCAAATACAATTCTTGCTGCAGTTAGTACGTGTAGAATTAAATACATGCAATCTTTCTCATAATTTGCTCCTATTATTCCTAACAAAAATAATTCTGGCTTAAAGTCTATTTGTTTTTTAGTCATTTTCTCCAACCATAAATGTATTTTAACCCAAAATCTTTTTGCTTTAGGGCATATCCACCAGATATGATAATAAGTACCTGGTCTTTGTTTGCATTTCCAACAGTTATTTGAAGTATTTTTAAGCATTTTTGCTAATCTCACTGGTGTCATATGCCATCTGTAAAACATTTTATATAAGTTTTCTATATATACCACTGCTTTGGTTAATTTAACATTTCTTTCCCATAAATTTTCCCAGTCTTCTAATTCTATATTATATCCAAAGTTCTTTGCCCATATTATCATTGTTTCTTTTACTTGTTCTTCCTCCATCTTTAAGTTTAACAGAAATTTATAGTTTCTTAACCAACTTTTCATCTGTTTTTAACAGTATCTGATCAAATTCTGTCTGTTCTTTATAGAATCCCATTGTTTTAGCATCTTTTTTCACATTATTGATGACAGAAGCTTATACATTTTATTGATGTTAATGCATATCATTACTGGTTTTCAAATCTGCAATAAACAAAATGGAAATTATTCTTGGTGAGAGTGTGAGAACTATGCCCTTGAAATAGGCTCTTGGTATTTTTCCCACTGATCATGCTGGTTAGACTTGCTGGTTAGTTTAGAAACATTTGAAGGTCACAGTAACTTATATTTGCACTGTACAGCATTTACAAATCAGAGTATTTTCAATTTTTTTCTAATCAGCAATACTTAGCCATTATGGTACTTTATTTTACTTAAAAGATAATAGCATAGTAGCAAGTTTTTATTTTTTTAAGTACTTTCTTAAACAAACAGGTAAAAATTTTCTGTTATTATGGAACATAGAATAATAGGATTGGAAGGGTCTTCTAGTCCAATCTTCTGCTCAAGCATACAAATGGTTATAATTTTTTTATGCCATAGATAATTTTCCATTTGGCTAGGTACACCAACTCTTAATTTTTAAAAAATTAGACAGCCACACTATTAGGAATTTGATCTGGGGAAAGATAATAATAGGGAAGTTTTTTGTTCCTATTACGTTCAGCAATATAACTTGCAATTCCATCAAGATTCTTGCGGAATTTCCTCATGGTCTCTTTCACTGGCTTCTCTATGAAGTGTTCATCTGGATATATCCCCAGAAACACCTGAATGGAGAAGACCAAAAAAAAATGCAATATGTTGGAAAAAGTTGACAAGGTTTTACAAATGTTATGATCAGAGTATTCCAAAGAATATACCAACAGATAGCAGTTGCTGGATCCTTTGATGTAGGTGACTGAATCCAAAACACAAAAACTATCTACTAGTTCAATGTCATTGTTATCAGTACTGAAGCTGGTTGCTCTTACTGTCATTACTTTAGTACAGGGAGGTCAAACTGCTGGCCCGCGGGCCAGATGCATCATAGCAAAACCGCACCCATCTCATTGCCGGCAATGGCAAAAAAGTCGCGATAGGTTGTGACACATAATGTGACGTTGCGAGTTTGACATCCCTGCTTTAGTACATTTAACCTTTTATATGTTCTATAATGTTGTGCCAAATTTTAATTCAGAGATTTAATTAAAAGATAATTTGATCCAATCTCCAAATCGAATCAATTTTCTGAATGGTATTGTTGAAATTTTCTTGTTTCTATTTTATTGTTTCGCTCACTCCTTTCTATTTATATAGCTACCCATTTTATGCAACTTTACAGGTGTCCAACCTCACTAGTACAATTCTTATGAACAAAAAAGGCCAGTTCTTGAAGGCTTTTTAGATGGCTAGAAAGAGATCTGCCAGACCGCAGGGGAAAGACTGTTCTCAACAGTAGGGGTCTCTATTGAGAAAGTATGGTACATCTTTGGATGTAAGAGTTTATCTGCTAGTTGGGTAATCCCCCCAAATTTAACAAAACAAATACAATGTTTCTGAATCAATTCAGTGCATTGCATATTAATTTGATGAGGCAATGGTGTTTTTGTATTTCTGATATTGGCAACAATGTAACCATACTGTAAAAACCAAAAAAGTAATGCCTACTGTGATTGACTGTAATAATAAAATGGTCTCAACTGTTTAATCATCACTGTCATCACCACCTGTCAGAACCAATGGAATACTGGAAGTATTGCATTATTTTCATTTTGCTCCGCTATACTATTTTTCCCCCTCTCAATTTCTGCTCTAATTTACTATGTAAATAAATTTATATGGAAGGAAACAGAAACAAATTGATGAAACTTTTATGCTGCTGTCTGTTGAGAGGAATTTCCCCTTTCGGTTCTTCCAGCCGAGATTTTCCTTGACGGCGCAACGCGGAAGAAATAGATCGTGAAGCCAGCTACCGGAAAGAGAGGTTTAATCTCGAGGATCAAAATTTAAGTGACAGTTCAGCTTGAATCCCCGGCTAGCTAGGCAGAATGGTTCTAAAACATGGGTTTTTATACCCTTTCGTGGTTTCCAAAACTTGTCTTTTCTGATTGGTGAGTTTGAATCTATCTTTTCTGATTTGCTAGTCAGTGGCTTTTGTTGGGTAAATTTCCTTCCTAATCCTGCCTGAAAGGTGTTTAATGGCTTTATTGTTGTGTGTGATAGCCGTATTGTTGTGTGAATAGTCCTAATTGCTGCTGGCCAGCTTTCCATTTAGTGTATGTTAAGTGTTTGCCACCTAGCCTCAGGCTACTGCTGAATCAGGCTGCTGTTGAATCATGCTGGGGTGAGAGGGGTTTTTCCAGCTTTCTTTCTTCAATTCCCCCATTTTGGGCTATCTCTGGGGTACCAGTGATTAGCCCAACTGGTTCATATATACGGTAGGGGTGATCAATTTGGCACATCATGAGAGAGGTTTTCTTGCTCTGTTTTTTGCCTCTGATTAGAGTTGTGCCGATCTTTAGGCATTTTAACCCTAAAGGGGCTAATTGGCATAGGCAACAAAGGAGGGCTCCGCCTACTATGACTGTGATTATGCTTCCAACTAGAATTCTTACCCAGTGGAAGTCTGGTAACCATGTGAAGAGCCAAGAAAGGTCCCAGGGTGATTGATCGTGTCCAATGTTTTGTGCTAGTTCTTTTAAATGTTTGATATCCCGTTCAATTAGTACGGATTGGTCAGATAGGTTGAAGCAGCAGAGCCCACAGAATTCTTCACAGCCATGGTTGTGCCTTAACAATAGGTAGTCAATGGCTGCTCTATTCTCGAGGGTTGCTTCTCTAACTTGCCTTAGTTCTTTGTTTAAGGCATCTAGAGCATGGGAGGTGGTGTTTAGACTTTTGGCTAGGGTGCATGCCAGGCTATTTATGTTCCTTGAGTTTCGTGTTGCAAGCCCTGGCACTCCCACTAGCGAGATGGCCAATGCAATATATTCAGTCCTGGTGAGGAGGGAGGTTTTTGAATCGCAGTCAGGAGGTAACGTTTGGAAGCTTCTCCTTTGCCGCCTTTACAGGGAGGGCATCAGCATCGTTAGTCGCCCTAATGTACAAGGGCCTCCTGTGGAATTTGCTGGTAAGTAGGAATAGGCTTTAAGGCCACACAGCAAAAAACCATCCGGTAGGGAGTTTCGTATGGCCATATGAAAAGGTGATGGCCATGGTGCTGTTACAGGCCAGTTCAGTGTTGGTGAGGTTGTAGCAGCTGGAGATCTTGGGTGTGTGGCATCCGGTCAATGTGAAGCATGTAGCTGCTCGTGTTACAGTTGTTACCTGCAATATGTACATGTTGCTGTCTTTTGTGTATGTAGTGGTCCCCCACTCAAAAATATTATAGTATGAGGCTGTCAGTGAGTGTTCTCCTAGCCTAGTGTTGTTAGTGATGGCTTTTGGTGCTATTGCTACTCCCATCAGGCATGTGGTTAAAATGTCCTTTACTGATCTACCCCCTTGCAGGCAAAACTCTGTAGTGTTTAGCACTTCCTTTGCTAAATACTCCCATATGTTCCCCTTTTCCGGAAATAATTTTGGTTCTATGAACCCAGAGGTACAATTTGAATACAAAAATACAATAATACATAAAATTCTAACAAAAGTAAACTTAATTCCCTCCCCCATTTGTCTCTGTTTCAAAAAGTGTTTCTAGGGACTTCCGGTGGTGTCAGGCTGCACCAATGGCGGCTTTTGTTAGCCGTCCGCCTGGGAGCGCGTCAAAGCCTGAAGAGACAGCGTGCAACAGCTGTCTCTTGGCTAGGAACCCCGTCCCTCGGGCGAAGAGGGGGGGTGAGCAGTCCGGATAGGCTTAGAGCTCCCTCTCACCCCGGTTTTTCTTTGATCGGGGTTGGGGGGTGAGAGCTCAGCCGAAGTCTGGACGTTCTCCGTGCCCCAGGATGCCTTCGCTCCGATCTATTTGGAGCGAAGCTAGATGCAGCGCCCACCTCTGCTACTGAAGCTATTTGGATTTAAATTACAAACAGACGGAACTAAGCAGGAGGTTTGGAGCAGTTTTGGTGAATTTTGATTTTGAGAATATACTAACATCTTCCTTTTTGGTGGGGACTTAAAGTGAGAAGAAAATGGCTGCGAAATTGCCGTTTCTTTGGAACTGAAAAAAAAAAAAAGAAGAAAACGTTTGCTTTTTACTTTTACTCTCTTCCGGTTATTAACTGGATAGAGATACATTGTGGTTTTTTCTTGGTTTTTGGAAAGTTTTAGTTGCAAAGAATTAGCAATGTTTTTTTTATTACTTATTATTTTTATGGATTTTTATGGATTATTGAAGTTTTTCAAGGAAGTTTGAAGAATGGTTTTAAAATGGCTGCGGAATTGTGAAAGAAAGAAAGAAAGAAAAATCCATGCTTCTTTTTTGCTGGCTAAATGAGTCTTATAGTTGTGGAAATAATTTACAATGATGGGTTATATGGGAGATCATGAAAATGACAAGTATGAAAAGCTGGAAAAGGAAGCAGTAATAGATTTGGTTATGGTCCTGGTGTACTTCCCTGATGGAATTTTGAAGAAAAAAAAAAGCTTATAGAAATGGGTCGTGCGTCAGAGAAAACCAGCTGGAGATGTTGCTGCTTGTGTTTTTAGAAGATTTTGCTATAATGGAATCATACAGGTTTATTATCAGCAGAAATTTCGAATGAAAGTAGAGATTATGAAAAGGACAAGCAGGAAAGTCTGGGAAAGGAAGCTGCAATAGATTTGGTCATGGTCCTGATGTACTTCCCTGAAGATATTTTGGAAAAAATGATTATAGAAATGGGTCGTGCGTCAGAGAAAACCAGCTGGAGATGTTGCTGCTTGTGTTTTTCAGAAGATTTTGTTATAGTTAGTGGAAAAGGCAGAAGATTTACTGGCTTCGAGGGCTGATTAGCAATGGAAGAAAGAAAAAAGAAAAAAAGAACGAAAGCATGGACTGGACTGGCTATGGAAGAATTTCTTGATGATAATCTTATACGAACATTTTGAAAGTTTTATATTTTTAAAATTAGTTGATTTGGAATTGATTTTTTGGGTATATATTATTTGAATTAATAAGAAGAGACCAGATGGTTATACTATTAAAATCTGTTGTAATAAAAAGAAAAAATAGAAAGAAAATTTTACTTAAAAGATATGTATTTGAGATCAAAAAGAGTTTAAATGATTAATGACATATAATTGTATTATTCTAAAGGATTTATATTGTCTTAGAGGAATTTAAAGATGGTTTTTAATGGATTTTTAGACATTTGGATGATTAATAGCAGTAAGAGTAAAAGATATGTACTTGAGATCAAAAAAAGAGTTTAAATGATTAATGATATATAATTGTATTGTTCTAAAGGACTTATATTGTTTTAGAGGAAGTTAACGATGGTTTTTAATGGGTTTTCAAGATATTTGAATGATTAATAGTAGTATGATTAGTAGCTAACTTTTTATTTTGTAGAAATGGCAAAGTTTAATTTTTAGATATTTGGATTTGGGGAAGATGGATAATTATATTTTGAGTTTTGGAGTTAAAATAAATTAATATTGGTATGTATTATAATTGGATTGTTTTACTTAGATGGGGGTTGTTTATTTACTCCTGTATTTAGTTCTGGGAAGTCCGGGGGGGGATGGGGGAAAAGGGATTTTTTATGTATTTTGGTATACTAGAATGGTAGTGAGATATAATGTAATAGGAGGTTTTTTTAGTTTGTTCTTGTTTTTATTATTATTATTATTGTATGCCATAATTATA